GGTATCTCAGTACGCGTAAGAGTTTAGCGTAGGCTGCTTAGCATCCCTGTGCTATTCACGGCTTTTGTTCTTGGAGTGACCCCCACCAAGGCTGTGTAGCGTACACGTCATGTATAAATACACATAACTGCAATATTTGTCTTGAAAATAAAGTACGCAAAGGCGCATTCAATTTTAAGACGAACTGCAGCCCGGACAATTTCCCTTTAATGGTGGAAAATATTCCCTGATTTCTGCTAGGCAGAGATGTCCTGCTGTCCTTCTTATACCGATGCAATAACGTCAGAAGTGCCTTCACCCCAGGAAGAGAGGTAGGTGTGCACTGGCTGCACGTGTGCTTCCTAAACAGGGAAATTCAATCTGTCAAGAAAATTCAATAACAACCTTAACATTTAATTGTACCCTAGGGCCCAATAAAAATCAACAAGGATGGTAGTTGTTGATTTTTCGTTAACCTTCTCTTAAAAAGGGTTCAAAAAATAACTGCTAAGTTAGACTGGCTGGCTGTATGTACATGTGCAATACGTACGGAGGTCTATAGGGAAAAATGTGTTTAAAACTTTAGATTGGATCCACATAGAAAATACTCAAGCGCCGGCACAGAGCTTGGCCATTGTTAGGTAAAAGAAAACATCCTGTTTTGATTTATGCACGCAGCACTCAATTTAACAAGTGTAGCTACAGGCAATTGGAAAACAGTCAAAATGGTGAATTTGCTGCTTACACTCATTTATACTGTTTCCTGAAGACAATTTGCTGTTGCTTTTTGGCACGTTTAGTGTTTTTTAAACCACACAAAGGTTATGCCCAGTTCTCATAATTACACAGTGCCTTTCTTGGTATAGGTGCAGTTGGGCGTTTGCCATGTGCTGTAGCATCCAGAGTTTTATTTCCCGGGGCTGCCTCCTTTACGGCAACTGCCGTGGGGGTTTAATGCTTCGGTGGCCCCTTTCGTTAGCGTGGGGCCGGGTCTTTGTGGACCCTCACTTAGTGAGTGTATTAGACGGGGCTCAGGCAGGGGCAAAGTCTAATCAATAAACCAAGTGCCCGTTGGAGTTACTCTGCTCATCCGGATGGCGCCTGCAGTTGGACAATGTCCAGGCAATTATTTGTTTTGTTTCTCTTGTTATTAATTATCTACATTACAGCCACACCTGGAAGCTTCTGGGTGCTGCACAGCCACCTAAGACAAGACATTTTTTGCCCTGAGAAATTTAAGTAGATGGGGGGGGGGATAAGGGAATAGCAGAGAACAGCATTTGCTGATCAGTGGCTGTCAGAACCCATGTCCAGCCAGGCGATGAAACAGAGATGCCATCCAAGCTCTCTACCTGAGCTCATGGACGAGCTCTGAGGCCATCAGCCGATAGGAAAACCCACAGGCACATCTGCAGCTCAGGAGTTTTCCCTTGGTGGCTGGCATGGACAAAAAAAAAATCCTTTATTGGCTCAATAGGTGAGTCAAGCTAGACCTTGTCCCTTCGATCGTGGGGGATTCTGCTTGGGATGGTGTTTGGGGTGGCAAGAGGGACTCCAGACTGGACGGGCTGAGCATGTGCTCGCAGTTACCGTCTGTGGACCGGCAGGTTGTCACCGCAGACCGCGGCAGGAGCCGCAGGGAGCCCCGCACAGGGCTTGGGGCTCGGCCCTGCACGCAGCTGGCACTGCTGGCTATTCCCAACACAGAAGGGTGGGCAGCAAGTGAATCACTCCATTGCTCCTGGAAGGATTTCACCGTCTCTTCACAGTTCAGTTCCCTTTGACTACATAGATCAGAGGCTGCGGGAGCGCCAGTCACGTACTTCCAAAAGAATTTGCGCCCAAGGAACAGTCGCCATACAAGGAGGGCTTAGAGTGTTTTTTTCCCTCTTGGACCTCCACAGAACGCCGTCAGCGAGCAGCCAGCCGTTCGCCAGTTTTATTCCACAGAGCGTGGGGCAGAAGCGGGACGCGCGATTGTCACCGCTCCATTTTCTCCACCGAGACTCTTGGAACGGTGCTCTTTAACAGCAAACACGGCGTGTTTCGGCTGGGAATGGCGCCGAAGACCCAGACTCGGGATTTTTGTCCCAAACCAAAACCCCGGACATCTGCCTGGCAGGAACCCCAGCTCTGCCCGAAACCCCCACCGTCCCGTGCGCACGAGCACCCCCCTCCCCACAGAG